GTCTGGCCCCTGGGCAGGAAGAACTCATCCTCCTGCAGGAAAGAGTCAAGAATGGGAAAATAACTGTGGATGAAGCCCTGGAGAAATTTAAACACTGGCAGATGGGAAAGAGTGGCCTGGAAATGATTCAGCAGGTAATACTGACCCCTGTCCCTTCTGGAATGTTCTCTCACTTGTAGAACTCCTAGACACTGTAAATATTTAGTCTTCACATGAAACACAGGTAACTATTCTTTTGTTTTTAACTAGCCACTGAAAAATATGTTTCAAACGATCAACTAAAAGGTAGAAAATATCCAGATTTCATGTTTACCAGTCTTTGGTCAACTCAACCCTGGAACCCAGTGTGTCAAAGCTAATACCTAATCAGCTTATACTACCTGTCCTTAGTATAGTGCATATTTTTTTAATCTCATTGCTGAAATTAAGGTGAAGCATCTTTACACTAATGTGCTCAGCATTCTGAAAAGGGTATTATGTAGAGGCTTAAAGGCAACAAGAAAATGATTCAAATCCCATCAAGCAATAGTTCTAAATGAAACACACTATAGTAAGTTTTATCTTCTTTCTCCTTAACTTTTTTGGGGGATATATATACATCTCCACATGCCAGTCAAGGTTTGCAGAGAAATGCCAAGAATATTAACTTCAGATAAATTTGTCTTCTATAAATATAATTTACATCGTGAGGGGGATTAGAGATGTTGGTTCTGAGATGAGAATGACAACAAAATATCCCCCATACACTCCTTGACACTCTTCAGTGAGGGGTATCAGGGCCATATCTATCTATCCCACAGGCCTTCCCATCCCAAAATATTCCAACAGTTTTTTTCTTCTCATCACAGAAAGGCCCATTGCCTAAGAACCCAGTTTTAGGTAGCTGCTTGATCAAACACACGTAATAAACTAATTTAGGTGGCTGTGTAAATAATTACTAATAGCTTAATGTGCTATCTTTCCCAAGATAATTTTTAATTAAAAGACAATGCTTAGGAGAATATTTTTTTAAAAATAAAAAAATGAATCACAATGCTGAAATTTCAAACAATATAGCCTAGTTTAGGCAAGGGGACTTTCCCACGACATCTAAGATCACAGCTTATCAGAAACCACCTATCTCTAAGAGTAGTTCTGATTGTGGGTGGTGGCTGGACTTGTTCCAGATTTGACAATTCCGAGAAAGTTATTTTGCCAAACCAATGCTGAGGAATGCTGACTGTAGAGTTCTGCAACTGTTCATTGTTCACCAGAATTACACCATTGCTTTTCAGTCCATGCCAATGTCATCACCATCACGTATCCCGGTTATCCTGGAATGGGGTAAAATGTGCTTAAGCTCAGGCCTACAAATCACTTTCCTGGAGACATTTGTATAGGTTTTGTTGAAGTAAGCCAATTGTACTTCATCCTCCTCAGACCCTTAAATAATAAAGTTTTCAGTTTAGTGTAATCCAACCTAAATATCTTCTTGGAAATGATTTCACTAGTGGTTTCATTAAGGCTTTGGTGGTTTCTATTTTGTTTGCATACTTATATTCAATCTTGTTTGGGGAAGAATTTAAGGTGGTCCATATTCACAACGTAGAGACTGATCTGACGCATTTGATATACAGGAATAATGGGATAATGAGTTAATGTTTATGCAAAAAAATATATTTTTTTCATTAACTTGTAAATATAGGCCAGAAGATGCTACGGTTACCTTCCACCTGAACTCTGATCTGACGCATTTGATATACAGGAATAATGGGATAATGAGTTAATGTTTATGCAAAAAATATATTTTTTTCTTTAACTTGTAAATATAGGCCAGAAGATGCTACGGTTACCTTCCACCTGAACTAAAAGTTTAGTGAGTCTGGCTGAATGCTGTTAGAGCAATCAGTCAGTCCTTAACATAAGGGCCTTGAAAAAATCCAAATAACACAAAAATGAATGTTCTTCGCATCTCTCCAACACACACACACATAGTCATTCCCATATACTTTTCAATATTCGTCTTGTAGTTTGCAAAAGTATTAATGTGCACCCTGGGAATGAATCTATCAAGGTTAACTGTGAAGTTATATTATTATCGAAGGAAGAATTATCCTAGAAAACTAAAAAGAAAAATGGCACAGACGCAGAGTTACGAGTTTCCAGAATAATGAGGACCCATATAGAACCTCTGGCGTTGAAGGTGAGACGGTGGAGAAGGTGAACAGCTTGCTTTTATTCTCCTCCCTCCTTCTCACAATCACAGTGCACTTGAGAAAGAGCGTGGCTCCACTCAGAAGAGAAGATCTGCAAGGCAATGGAAACAACAAAGTAGAAAAAGTGGTTTCTAGGTTTCCGCAGAAACCCTGAGGAAAAAGTGCAACTCAGGTTGTCTTCTAAAAGGAGATTTATTACATGTTAACTTGTTTGAATTTTTCATTTAAAAAAAAATAGATGTTCAATGTAGAATATTTGTAAAACAAAGAAGGATGGGGAATCTAGTTACATATCATTTGCTCCTCAGTACCCAAATTTTAGAATTAGAACACCAGGAAGGAATGTGCCCTACAGAACTGTAGATGGGCTCAGACCACAGCAAATCATCGCTGTTTAGCCCTTCTCCTTTTGGACACCAAATAACCAATGCAGACCGCACAAGCGTTAGGGTGAAAAAACAGCTCCCAAAAGAACTGGGCTCTGGGATGCAATCCTGAGTCTACCACTTATAACTGTATGACCTGGAAAAGTTACTTAACTTCTCTGTACCTCAGTTTCCATATCTGTAAAATGGGATGATAACATTTTACGTCTACTTCATGAAGTGGTAATAATCAAGTAAAATAATACATGTAAAGTATCAAGGATGGCATTTGGGATATCGTTAAGTAGCAAATGAATACTAAGTAATAGTATTGGTACTAGTAATACTAGTTGTTGTTTTCACCTTGATCCATGAAAAATTTGTAAATCATGACCTCTGTGTCCTGCTTGTTTCTTCATTAAGGAAAAACTACGCCAACTACGAGACTGCATTATTGGAAAAAGGCCAGAAGAAGAAAATGTCTGTGGTAAGTGAAATTTGCCTGCTGTTCAGAAATGATAGAGTGATGAAGTGGAGAATGCAGGGACTGTGGAGTCAAACAGACCTGGGGTTCAAATCTACACCCCATCACTTCCCAATTGTCTGCCCTGGGAAGTGTCTTAATCCCTGATACTTGGGTTACTTGTCTGCAAAACAGGAGTAATTGTACATGCACCTGGAGTGCTTGTGGGAATTGACATATAAAATATTTATCACATTCTCTGATCCATAATGGACCCTCAGTAAATGCTCATTACTTTCTTTCTTTTGATTTTGATGTAAGTTATAAATAAGATAATTCTCCAGTTTTTTTATGAGCCATTATGTAGGCATTCAATTAATTGGGGAGTAATGCTTTTTTAATTAATATTCTTAATATAGTCAGTTCTCACAATTTTTCACATGTGAATTATTTTAAATTACTAATAATTAACAATTGCTCTTGGGGGGGTAGAGACACTCAATATTAATGCAAACCAAACATCATTAAGGTGGTAAATCTTCTCCAAAAATAAACAGCACATTCCAAAATCGAAAATAAATTATCTTGTCACTATCTGACTACTCTTCCCCAAATCTCTACCCCTGCACAGATAATTAAAAACTAAGAACCACTAAGAAAGCTTGAACGCTTCCATCTCTTCCATTTTCAGTAATATTTCATGGCTTTCAGCTAGTCCTTCATTTCCCTTCATATTATTGAGCTGTTATCTACTTTTCTATAGGAAATTCTTCAATCTCTCTTAGAAATGTTTTCTAAAACAGAAATACACTTTCTAAAATAATTAAGGTCATAAATTAAGGACTAATTTATAGTAACTGACAAGCAAAATTCATGAGGTGGCTCTCTTGGCGGCCCAGGTTTCTGCCAGAGAAATATTTCCTGACTACTGTCCATGCAAAGCAAGAAACTGAGGAGGCAGAGATCCTAGTTCAGGGCAGCTGAAGCTGCTGGAATGTGTGTGGTGGGTGATTGAAGAGGAGGTGGCTATGAAGAGAGGTAGCCCCACAGGTCCGTGTGAGGGACTATACAAGTCTATGACTGAGAGATGAGCTGTAAATGTGCAAGGAAAGACCACTCAAGGCATACAAAATAGCAGCTTCAAGAGCATTGAAAGCAAAGAAGAGACACAAAAGAGGTTGACCAGAGCCAGGGTAGACATACTGGGAATGTTTGAGTTCCTGCCCTGCTGAAGTGGAAAGATCTTCTCGACACCTCCTTAAAACACCTGGCATCCTGCTGTGAAACTCAAGAGATGCAATGAGTGAGGACCACAACTTAGAGCTACTCTAGACATGCCCTAACAATGTCTAAAAGTAAGTCCCTCGGGGCCGGCCCGGTGGCGCACTGGATAAGTGCGCCGCTTGGGAAGTGCGGCGGCGCTCCCACCCGAGGGTTCGGATCCCACATACAGACCGGTTCCCGCTCACTGGCTGAGCGAGGCGCAGGAGCAGCGCCGAGGCTTGCGATCCCGTTGCCGGTCCCCGGTCCGGTACGGGGGCAACACTGAGGGTTGCGATCCGTTGCCGGACACGGAAAAAGACAAAAGACAAAAAAAAAATAAAAATAAAAAAAATAAAAGTAAGTCCCACAAGAACCACGTGGGAGACACAGTTTGCTAGGCTGAATCCTACCAAGGGCCTTAGAAAACACCTTTAGCTTTCTATAGATCAACATTGAAAGAATAAAATCAAGCCTATACAAGTTCATGCCAGTAATTGAACTGCCTGCTAAAACAAGAACCTACATTCATCAGAAAAATATTATAGAATCCAGAATATACAACAGATTATCTATACATCCAGTATTAATTTTTTTTAAAGAAGACATACAAAGAAACAGGAAAATGTAATCCATAGTGAAGAAAAAACTGAACAACTGAACCTGAGATGTTGTTGATCTTAGCAAAGACTTTTAAGTGGCTCTTATAAACATACTGAATTAATGAAAGAATATGGTTTTAAGGAGTGAATAAATAGGGAATCTCAGCAGAAGAATTAAAATTATGCAACAGAACCAAATGGAAATTGTAAAATAAAATTACAATAAAAGGAATGAAAACTTTACTGGTTAAGCTTATCAGCAGATTGGATATAGCAAAGTAAAAATTAGTGAACTTGATGACAGATCAATAGAAACTATCCAGTGTGATAAATAGGGGGATAAAAAGTCTTTGGGAAAAAAAAAATAGAACTCCAGGGACATTAGGGCAATATAACACAGTCTAGTATGCATGTAATTAAAGCCCCAGAAGGCGAAAAAAGTGAGTTTGGGGAAAAACATTTTTGAAGAAATAATGGCCAAAACCTTGCCAAATTTAATGCAAGTCACCTCTGTACAGTTTTAAGAACTTCAACAACAACAAAAAAAACCCAATCAGCATAATTGTTAAGAGAACAATATCTAGGCAACTTGTGGTCAAGCTACTTCAAGTCAAGGTAAAGAGAAATTCTTGAAAGCAACAGAAGAAAGGACACATTACATACAAAGGAAAAAGGATAAAAAATATTCCCAATTTCTTATTAGAAACAATAGAGGACTAAAGACAGTGCAATGATATCTTTAAAGTAATAATAAAAAAAAAAGACCACTTATAATTCTATATCCAGAGAAAATATCTCTCAAAAGTTTGGTAAAGTAAAGATATTTTTAGGTAAATTAAATTAGAGAATTTATAGCAATATTGCAATTCAGTAAGTGCTACAGAATGTCATACAGGTTGAAGGGAACATTAATAAATAGAAACTTAGATCCACTCTAAGGGAAAAAGAACACAAATTATACAAAGCAGGTAAATATAAAATAGGTGTTTTTTTCTTCTCATAAATTATTTCAAAGACAACTGTTTAAAGCAAAACTAATAGCACTTAAGTTGGGATTATATAATATGAAGAAGGAAAAAATATAAAAACAATCACACAAAGGACATAGGGTGCTTATAAGTGGAATTAAATGTTGGCAAAATTTTTATATGGTAAAGTACAAAGTGTGGAGTGTGAAGAATCAGTTATAATGTAAGAAGAGAAAAGGGTAAAGTAGAAATTTCAAAGGGTCAAGTCTAAAGCATAAAGCATGAGGGAGTAAACTATCATCTCAAAATAGATTCTGGTAAGTTAAGGATGGATATTTTAGCCATAAAGCAACCACTAAAAAAGTAAATGAAAAAGTATGTATACCTAGGAAACCTATAAAGAAAATAAAACAGACCATTAAAAAACTATTTGAGTCACCAAAAATAAAGCAGGAAAGTAGCCAAAGGGGGACATAAACAAAAGGGGTAAGTGAAAAACCAAGAACAAGATGGTAGTATTAAACTGAGCCATATCAATAATGATGTTAAGTGTAATTGGATTAAATACTTAATTTAAAAGGCAGACATTCTCAGACTGGATTAAAAAGCAATACCAACCTTATGCTGTCTGAAAGACATATTTTAAATATAAGACACAGATAACTTGAAAGTAAAGGATGGTAAAGGGTCTACTATGCCAACAGTAAGCATAAGAAGTTTGGCTTGGCTATATCAATATAAGACAAGATAAACTTCAAGACAAAGAGCACTACAAGAGATAAAAGAAGATACAGTATAATGATAAGAGGGAAGTTTACTAGTAAGATATAACAATTCTAAATATTTGTGTATTTTATACCATATATGTTCTTGTGAGCTTTATCAAAACTCATAAAACAAAATCTGACAGTACTCAGAGATCTTTTTCTTCTTTCTTCATAATTAGTAGAGCAAACAGACAAAAATCAGCAAAAATACAGAATACCTACACAGCCCTATCGACTAACTTGACTTAATTAACATTTACAGAATAAGACACTGAAAAAAATTCAGAGAACATGCTTGTTAAAGGTGTGCATTGAAGTTTCACCAAGATAGAACACTTAGTAAACCATCAAAAAAGTTTTGGTAAATTTCAAAAGATTGAAATCTTCAGAGTATGTTCTCTGAAAGATTTTAGTATTTTGAAACCTTATATTCTCTTACCACATCAGAAGTAAATTAGAAATTAAGAACTAGATATCTAGAAAATATCTCCAAATATTTAGGTATTAAATACAACATGCTAAAATAACCCATGGGTCAAATAAGAAATCATGAGAAAATATTTCAACCTGAATAATAATGAAAAAATATCAAAATTTGTAAATACAGCTAAAACAGTTATGGAGTTAACAGTTAAATTAGAGGGAGATTCATGGCTACATATGTTATACTAGGAAAGAAAAAAGCTTAAGATCAATGATTTGTTTCTACCTCTAGAAAACTAGAAAAGAGAAAGCAAACCAAACCCAAAAAGAGGTAAGAAATAATTAAGATAAGATCAGATATTGATGAAAAAGGAAAGAGATGAACAAAATAAAAAATTACCAAAACCAAAATCGGTATTTGAAAACATAAGTAAAATTGGTAAGTTCATGGGAAGAATGATCCAGGAGGAAAAAAACAACAAAAAACAAGAGACTACATTAAGAATTAGAGTGCACTATCACAACAGATCCTACAGAATACATTAAGAAAATACAAGTAACTTTTTGCCAATACATTTGACAACTTACGAGAAAAGAACAAATTATCTGAAAAAGAAAATGTACGAAAACTGATGTAAAAAGAAAAAAAATCCACACTTCTCTGAGTATACCTCTTTATATATTTCTCACTTGTAGAACTTTATTTTACATATTCAATAAACAAGGATGAGTCAAGGCAGGGAAAAGAAAGAAAATGGATTATAATCAGAAACAAATGAACCTAGTGCTACTATAAATAAATAGTATATCCATATTGAGTGGGGGATAGGAAAAAAAACATAAATAAATCTAGAAAACAGTGTACCCTAAGGCTAAAAATAAGAAAAGAAAAATAGATAAAAATTGTACTTTACCCAAGTGAGTAGGGTTTATTTCTCCAGAGTGGTGTAATTTAGCAATTTCAGTATGTTATGGATATTCTCGAACTGAGCTAATAAATAAATGTACTAATGAGAGCCAAGTTTTCTATTATCAGAGAAGGGAGTTATAACTAAGGAAAGAAGGAAGGCTAGAATGAGTCATGTGGTATAGCATTGAACTGGAGGTAAAAGTATGGCAAATCATGGCTACTAATATATATAGTACAGGAGGATAAATATAGAAATATAGTTGTACGCATAAATATACATATTTCTTTAGCTCTGTTTGCTGTGAGGACATAGAAGCAATGACAGCCCAGCACCACTGAGCACACCTAGCACCCAGAGCTTAGTTTACAAAAGTGAATGGCCAGTAACATGTGAAAAGATGCTCAACATCATTAATCATCAGGAAAAGGCAAATTAAACTACAGTGAGATACCAGTACACAACAACTAGAATGAATACAATTTTAAAAGTATGTCAGGTCTAAGTGTTGGTTTGGATGTGGAACTGGGCATGCATTGCATGCATTGTTGATGGTAGTATAAGGTGACATGATGCCCTTTGGGAAAGTCAAATATACACTTACTATATGGCCTAGTCACTTACACTACTAGGTATTCTTCCAAGACAAATGAAAGCATATGTCCACCTAAAGATTTGTTCACAAAAGTTCACAGCAGTTTCATTCATAATAGTCAAACTGAAAACAACCCAAATGTCCAGTAGGAGACTGGACTTATATTATGGAATACTACTCAGCAATAAAAAAAAGAATACCTACTATTATATACAAAAATATAAATGAATCTCATAGACATTATACTGAATGAGAGATAACAGACACCAAGGAGTACAAGAAATAAGATTGCATTTATCTGGAATTCTAGATAAAACTAATCTGGACAAAACTAATCTACAGAGATAGAAATCTGATCAGGGGCTGCTGTGAGTAATGTTTGGGTGAGGATTGCCATAAGGGGACATGGAGAAATATTTTCTGGAGATGAAATGGTCTCTATCCTAATTTGGTTGATGGGCACATGGTTATATAGATAGTCAAAAGTCATCAACCTATACACTTAAAAATGTTTGAACCATGCTGTATGTAATTATTCCTGAATAATGTTGATTTATAAAAAGAATGGAGTAGGCCAGGCTAAGGTAATATTCAAGGCATAGTAGCAAGCCTTTATTAAGTGTCAAACATATCTGAAATAATAACACCTTGGGACAAGAGTTGGGGGGTGGGGGGAGACAAAAGTAATAGTAGCCAGAGGCAGAGGTAGATAAATTTGGAATTAGTATTTTTAGATCAGACTGTGAGATTTTATAGTCACCTCAAAGACAAGAAGTAGTCAAACAATAAAAAAAAATTTTAGAATAAATACTGAACAAAACTCAGTAGAATGTGCTTTTTTTTGTCTTTTAGATAAGCTCACCATCGTGCACCATCCAAGTGGTAAGTGCTAGGTATTTATTGAAGGATTTAAGACTAAAACAAAGTACATAGTAAACCAATTTCAATATTAATGTAAACCTAATATGATTAGGCAGGTCAGTGTACAGATTTACGTAGATTATATATTTACATGCAAAACCGAAATGAATGTCAGGTGGTTCTAGAAGAGCAATGCTAGGGGCATCATAATACAGTAAAAGAAGCATGGGCTTTGAATTCTGATTAACCTGGCTGTTCACAGCTTACTAGTTGTAACCTTTGGCCAGTCAATTAAGCTCTAGAGGCCTCAGTTTTCTCATATGTGAAGCATCGATAAGAATTGTACCATGGGAAATTGCTATGAAGCCTGAAAAGGATTTATGTAAATAATGCTTGATCGTGGGAGTCATTAACTGAGCAAATGAAATTGGAGTAACCCTTGAGAGAGCAACTCACTTCAATATGAAGGGAGAGGAATGTGTGCCGAATACTGGGAGGGCAAAGAAGAGCTACAGGCCAGCTGGGGAGCTATTGAATAATCTAGAAGCAATGTCTACAGCCTGGACCAAAGCATTGACTGCGGGGAGAGGAGAAGCAACTGGATCAAGCCATGTGGCTGGGGTGGAAAATAGGAAGCCCATAGTAGAGGCAGGAGGAGCAGCAGCATAGGCCAGTGGGGAGTAGCAGGAACAAGTTTTCTTAGAAGAGTGTGCTTTGCAATGGGCCGATCCTGGTGAATGCGGAAAAGAAAAAGAAGTTGTAATCATGGGGAGGTTGTTACTCAAAGAGGACAGAAAGACTGTTTCTAAACTGACATGACTCCTCAGTATCCTGCATAAACCTATCCCTACAAGAAGGAGATATTAAGGTGACTTTTCAATATGTCCTTTTTAACTCTTTAGTAATTTTTCTCTTCGCCCTACTCTTTGTATATATCATTTTTAAGAAGTGCTGAATAAGTGAATCATCAAATGTGTGAATGACGGAAGAGGTAGTAACATAGTTTGTATTTCTAGGTAATGAAACTGCCCACAATGAAAATATGTTTTATAACATACCCTTCAACAATAAGGTAGGTTGTATTTATTTTGATTTTTATGAAATGCAAATAAGGAACTTCTCTGCTGAGAAAGAACATGAGAGCCTTCTGTCCTCTCTGTGCTTTGAAACATTCTAACAAGTATGAACAAAATAGGTTATGTGAGCATTTGTGTGCAAAATCTGTGAGAGTAATTTAAGGATATTACCTATTCAGAAGAAAACAAAGGAGGAACTAAAAGGGAAAAGCCACCAGGGCCAAAGTGTGGCTGAATTCAACATGTACAGACCAAATAAATCTTAGAGGAATTACGAATACATCTGTTTTAGCAATAGGAATATGATAAGTCTATTTGAACCACAATGTATACATTCCTTAAAAGTCTAGTTATAGGAAAAATACAGCCCCAAAATATCACTGATGCAAATATGCATCACTTCACTTTGTAGAGTTAACTGAAAATAAATTGCTGAAGAGAAGCTAAAAATAACACTAAACAAAGATAGCAGCAATTGAAAACCAAGACCAAATCATGACAACACTGATAATGTCCTGACCACAAATTTTTCTTCTTGTATTATATATACAGATATGTGATATAAGAAATTTGCATTGTTACCAAGGGTCAAGTGACAGCTGAATTTCTTGCTAAAATTCAGAATTAGAGTCCTTGGTAAGTTCCCATAATGAACCAATTTTGGTTTTCCAAATTTTAGCAACCCTTTAAGCTCTTTTATATTTTACATAAATCATAAATAATCATTAAAGTCATTCACCATTAAGAACTAAACAAAGTATTTGCATTTTTGGATCATTCTGTGGCCCAGCAATAAACTATAAGAGCTATATACTATAGGCTCCTTCCATTCATTAGAATGCGGCAGAATCGTGGGGTACACCAAAGCACAGGATTTATGAAAATATCTTTGTTAAACAAAGATTCTTCTACAGGACCTGAAGGACTACACAACCATGGTATATATTTTTTGAAAGCAATATTTTGTATAAGAGAAAAAGAATACAAATTCCCAATGCTAGGCTGTTCTCCTTCAAAATGGAAATGAAATTTGAATTCAAGGACTTTGATGTAGTTGAACTTTACAATAATTATTTCCTTGCCAGTTGCCTCAACAAAGCTGTTTTTTTCATGACTGTAAAAGACACCTATGACTTCATCGTATTTCTTTGTTCAGCCTTAAAATGGAGAAATGCAGGCCGGCCCGGTGGAGTACTCGGTAGAGTGCGGCGCTTGGGAGCATGGCGGCACTCCCGCCGAGGGTTCGGATCCCATATAGAGACCGGTCTGCTCACTGGTTGAGCACGGTGCGGGCGCGACACCGAGGGTTGCGATCCCGTTGCTGGTCACGAAAAAAAGACAAAAAGGAAAAAAAAAATGGAGAAATGCTAGTTCTGTGTCTTATTTTTTAGTTTCCTGCTCGACTCCAAGTTGAAAAGGAATTTGGTTTCTGCTTGAGGAAAGATCATTAAAGAAGGTAAAATATTAGCTATTCTTTTTAGAAAACCTAAAGCAAGTTTGCTGGGAACTTGAAAGAATCATTTGTCTAGGAAATAGAACTCTTTAAATATTTCATTGTCTTCTCTTGAAAGGATAAACATGTATATTTTTCAAACTAAAGGTGGTTGCTCCTTAGAAAGATTTATATATAGGGGTGATTTTATGCTAGCTAATCAATTTCAGTTGATGAGCCATTATTCACTAATATATTTCCTGTGATTTCATTTTCAGGTTATTATAATGAAACTCAAGAATCTGCAGACATTGTGCCTTCTGGGTGATTCAAGCTTGCTTTTGGATTACCTGCTCTCTCCAGGGGAATCTATACTATGAAAGCAGAAGCAAACCTCTGAGTTTCAGAATTTGTTATTGCCACAATTTATTGGTATCATACCTGCTTCAGATGGGTATATTAATATTAAAATAGAATGCCATGGAGTAACTGCATTCTTTGAAAATTCTTGAATTTTACAATGTGCTTTGCCATGGAAGCAGCCAGTTCCCATTTTGAAAATTAAAAGAAAATAAGATCAGAGAAGTTAAATGCTGCGTAGCAGCATTACTGGGCCTGTCTAAGGCACTAACCTTAGATTACTCCTCCTGTCCCTAGAATAACCATGAAAATGCAGATTCACTTCATACATATTTGCCTTTTAAGTGACTGGTTTGTTTTTTTGATTTCTCAAATTCGGTGCTCTAATTATTATTGTTATATCATGTTTGCAGAAACCTTCCCTTATTTAGAGCTTCTTTGCATATAACACTGAGAACATCATTTTTTTAAAAAAAGTTTCTATGTCTCAAATTAATATACATTTCCAGAGTCATTATTCTTTATTAAAAGCTATAATTTCATCAACCTATTTCTTAGGAATAATTTACTAGCTTAGAATAGAATGCAGTTTCATCATATTATGATTTCCATGTACAAATGCTGCAAATAAATTGGATGTTTAAAGCTATGTCTGACTTTTTAAAATAAATGTATAAGAATTAACCACTAAGTTTTCTGCTTATCAATTGAAAGAGGGAAGTCCACCAAAATTGTTTTAAAATAAACTCAATTAATTTCATTGTATTGGGCCCATATACTAAGAACAAATGATTTTTTTTTCTACCTTCTAAACAGTGATAGGAATATCTATTTAAAGTCATTCTGCAAAATATTTATCATAGGTTTCTCATAATACTAACATTCTAAAATAAGCTCAATTTTTAGAAAATAATACAGTAGCTTGATTAATCTCTAAAAGGAGGTGCTTTGACTATGACATTTGGAAATTCAGTCCATAGGGTCACATCCAGAATTTCAAGAAATAGCACACTGAGTCTCCATTTCTGTGGGCTGTTCCATCCTGATGAGTATGAAATGACATCATGTATTTAAGTGAGCAGTGCTGTACTGCATTCAAGCACGTAACCTTTGATGACCAACCTAGTTTGAATCTTGGATCAGCTGTGTCCCGTCTGTGTGAGTAAAGCTGTCTCCCTGAACCCTGTTTCATCACTGATAAAAATGAGGGTAATAATACAAAGCTAGCATAAGTTGTCTGAGAATTAAATGTAGGGAGATCACTTAATTTATCATTCAAAGAGGACACTGGACAATAAAATAGAGTACTGTGAATGATTAAGTTATGAAAGCATGCATAAACTGGGACTGCCTCAGGCATGAAATGGGATGTATAGTCACTCGACTTAAAGAAGATGTAAGTTCTTGGAACATTTTGGCTCACAGTTGACGGTCAACTAAGATAGTTTGCAAAAAAATAATCCTCTCTGAAATGTGAATGCTGGCACACCACCAGCACCTCAGGCCCGTCTGGGGACCTGCGGCATGGATCCAGGGACCGGACCCTCCTCCCACAACCAGGTACATGGCCAGCACCAAGAAGCATGCCAAAAACATCACCTCCATGTGGGTGGCCCACCACAGCCACCATAATAACCACAACTGCCACAAAAGCAGCTAGACGCCACAACCACCACGCAGATGGTCCGCCAGCCACTGTAGGGCATTCACACAAGGAGAGTCACCAGCAGAGACCAAAGAAAAGAAGAGGATGTCTCTCTCCACAAAACCCATTCCAGAGTGACAGAAGAAGCATCTGCTCTACGATAATATTGGGGGAACTGAACACACCTCTCAGCATTGGACAGATCATCTAGGCAACAAATCAACACAGTAACCATTTTTCTTTCAGAGGGAGAGAAGAAATCGAGGGTAATTAGATGGGGGGAAGAAGAGGGAGAGGGGGATAGGGAGAGATTGGACAAGAGGCGTAAAGAATAAGTACGATTTGTAACAATATATGTGCTAGTAATATTGATTTGATCTACATATGTCGACGTTGAACTCCCAAAATATGTGGCAAACTAAAAAAGGAAGAGAGAAGACCCAAATAACAAAACTGCTGTACCGTGACGTTGAACTCCCAAAATATGTGTAATCAATTATGATTAAATAAAAATTAATAAAAAAAATAAAGAAATATGAATGCTGGATGACACTTTAGGTTGACTTGTTATCTGACTGGCTCTTATGTACACCTGTACAGCATGTGATTCAAATCTACCCCATTATAAAAATTTTTAAAAAGAAAAGAAAAGAAAGAAACAATAATTACTAACTGTTGAATGACCACCTGCATCATCCATAAATATCAGAAGCCTCCAGTAGAAAAATCTAAGAGCAGTAAGGTACAAAAGCAGTGTTTCCCAAGTTGTGTTCCAAGGAACTCATGGGGGGTATTGCATTAAGATAGGGTTCTAAGATCAAGTGAGTTTGGAGAGTGTTCTGTATTTTATTCCATTTTAGAATGGCATATTATACATCAAAATATTGAAAACTAAGTAATCCTGCAATAAAGAAATCTATACAGTTTGAGAAACACTGGCTTGCATTTTATGTATATGTAAGTTGGCTTCATTTTTCATGGAATGAGAAAGGAAAGACTGGCTAAAGAATGCCTGGAGTGATGCATTGAGAAGGAGTCAGCAACGTGTTTCAATGGGCAACTGTGTCATGATTAACCGACAATGTGTGCCATGGATATCGGTGTGGGGGTGAGGAGTGGAGGCATGCATGATACTTATTTGGCATTTTGCACCTGGTTAGCACAGAGTGAAAGATTGAGTTCTGAATTTTGCAAAGAATAAAAGTTAGTTTCACTCAGAATAAAGTTAATGTGACAACTATTATTTGTCTTCAAACAAATGAGTTAGTAAACACGTCTCTGGATACGACACTATAATTTCCACTGTATTTATTATGTCTTCAAATAACATCAAGCTTGGTTCCACTCCACTGGTTTAAAACCACTCAGATGCTGCGCATTGAAATGTATCAAACTCTGAATCAGTTTCTGAGTCCATGGAATCCAGCAGGATAGTTTTGCTCAGATTGGTTTTTTGCCCTCTATAGCAATCGGTGACCCTCAGAGGGAAATTAGCCCTCAGCAAATTAACCATCAATTTCTGATGGACTGTCTCTTTCATTTCTCAAGGTGGAGATGGACGTGCTATATCAACTAAAATAAAGGTGCTACAGTTTTGCCCCTAGCACTTTCTCATTTCCTTGTTCAAATGAAAGAAAAGACAAGGGATTCAGGGAAGTGTGAGCTGATGTTGTTTTAATATTCAGGCCTGGCACTCAAGTGGAAGCATCTGCAGTCACGCCAAGCAGCCTGAGCTCCCTTGCAAGACATTGGCACTTGTCGTAACGTTGTGAAATGAGGTGTTCTGCAACTCAGAAGTAGCAAGTCATTCCCAGTACCTCTGAGATCTTCTAACTTGGGGAATCCTAGCAGATGACCTGTCATTAACAGTGACATTGAAGGGAATAAGAACCTTAATTATGATCTCCATCTGTTCCCTTCACTTTAGTTTCCATAAGCTGTGGTACCTTGACTGAGATATTTATATACCTTCCATTTGAATTTTGGTCACAGGTGATCTTTCTGGGTTTAACATAAAGAACAATGCCAAATAATGGCAATACAGCCCATCTATCACTATAAAAACAATCTGGTTTCTCACCTTCTTAAAAAGACAACAGATAAGTAAACACTATGCTTTTCTAACCTATTTCACCAATTAAAAAAGCCAGTGTTTATGAAGATTCTGCTCATGTTTCAGCCTCTGAAATAAGAATGGAACAAATAGCAATCTTCTTTGGAACATGACAAAAATATTTATTTGGAAAGAAGTTGTTTAGGACCCCCAAAAAATGATGGAGGTAGCACAATTGGTCCTAAAAAAAAGAAAATATATATATGAAATATTCTACAGAAAGTATAGAGAATAGCATGTATTTCTTATGTATATAATGTGTATGTATGTAGTAGGACCAATTGTGCTACTTCCATCATTTACATTTGCCATGAACTTATAAAAATTTACAATTAAAATATATTAAATATATTAACATGAACTATGTAACTCTATATATAAAATACATTTCCCCAGTCAGTAGGAAGACAATTCCCCCACATGCCAGAGGCAGCGGAGCCCATCAGGCTTCCAAGCAAGTGAAACAGACCACAAATTTCCTCCAGGATCACACCATTGATTCATGTCTACTTAATATATATTTATAGAGCACCTGCCGTAGGAGGAGGCATATGGTACTGGGAAATGCTCAGTTAAGATATTTAATTAATGACTGAGCCACAAGTGCCTGGATTCAAATCTCGACTCCAATACTTACTAACTGCGTGACCTTGAAAATATGATTTATCCTCTTTCTGCTTCAGTTTCTTTTTTTTTTTTTTCCTTTTTTATCTTTTTTACTGACCGGTAACGGGATCGCAACCCTCGGTGTCGCGCCCACACCGGGGACCGGCAACGGGATCACAACCCTGGGTGTTGCATTTTACTGACCGGTAACGGGATCGCAACCCTCGGTGTCGCGCCCTCACCGGGGACCGGCAACGGGATCACAACCCTGGGTGTTGCACCCACACCGCACTCAACCAGTGAGCGGGAACTGGTCTCCACATGGGATCCAAACCCTCGGCGGGAGTGCCGCCGCGCTCCCAGGCGGTGCACTCTCCAGTGAGCCACTGGGCCAGCCCTCTGCTTCAGTTTCTAACCTGCAAGTATTAATGGTACCTTTCTCATAGATTATGTGAATAAATTAGGTGAATATGGTACTCAGTGAATGCCCTTTATTTCTATAGTTATTTGAATTTTTATTAATCTTTGCAGGACATGCACCAGGTACTAGGGGTGCAAGAATAAAATGCTAAGCCAAAACAGAAACACTTCCTTGCCCTCATGGGGATATTAAAAATAGTAATCACAGTAATAAATGTAAAATTATAGCTGTATTAATAGCTATGAAGAAGAGCACATAGTGCTATGAGAGTTATGGAAGTGGGGATTGACCTATCTAGGAAAATCAAGGTAACGGTTTCCTGAGGAAATGACAGAAGAGATGAAATCTGAAGGAAGGATGGAAAGAATGAGTGATAATTAAGAGACAAAAAGGACAGGAAGAATGTTGTAGGCAGAGAGAACAGCAAGTGCAAAGGCCCTGTGGCAGAGGGAAACAAAAAGTATCTGAGAACCTAAATAAGACCAGTATGACTAGAACACAGAGAACAAATGGAAACAGAATATACGAGCAGATCATGCAGGGCAATACTGAGGATTCTGCTTTTTCCAGAAATCAGAGGCCCTGTGGCAGAGGGAAACAAAAAGTATCTGAGAACCTAAATAAGACCAGTATGACTAGAACACAGAGAACAAATGGAAACAGAATATACGAGCAGATCATGCAGGGCAATACTGAGGATTCTGCTTTTTCCAGAAATCAGTGGAAATCATAAATGAGTTTTAAGCAAAGAGGATGTCATATTTGCATTTTTTAAAATGAACACCCTCACTTCAGGAGGGAAAAGTGGAAAGAATGTAGCAAACAAAATAGGAATCAATTGTCCAAATACAAGGCCCCACATTTGCTCTTAATTTTGAAGCTACAGGTGTTAGTTTTTT